TGGCATAAAACTGAGGAAATACAAGCACCAAAATTGACTGGGTTACAGTTTACTGTGTTACTGTAGGTTTTCTGTAGTTTTCATGTAAGTTTACTGTTACTGTAGTTTACTGTAACTTACTCCAGTTTACACTATTGCGCCCCCCCCCCCCCCCCCCCCCACACACACACACACATACACACACACACAGACATGTTTGGATCAGTCCGTGCAGGGCTTATTAGGTTTTATGACCCTCAAAGTGCCTCAGGGTTCTGATGGCCTGTTGCTGCTTGTTCAGTCGACCCAGACTGAAATCACAATCAGAGAGCGGTTGTTATCATAACTTGTGAATACAGTAAAAATGTGGTGGTACTCATTGGTACCGAGCTCACCCTACTGTTCCACTTGGGCGGTTCCTCTTCTCTTCAAACTCAGGTCCTCTACCAGAGCCCTGGAAGCTTGAGGGTTCTGTTCAGTATCAGCTTTTCCTGGGACTGTGCTTTTTTCACCAGATATCTCTGGGTTTGTTCCCGGGATTTGTTGGAGCCACTTTTTCAGTTTGGGGGTGTCACAGCACTGATGTGGAATGTTGGTGCAGTGGTTATGTCCCTTGACTTTGGTTCTAGAAGTGTAAGTGTTTTGAGTTCAAAGCCCGATGCCGGTAATGTAATGAATGAAAGGGTGTTGTGCCAACATGGACGTCACCCGGACTAATAAGGTCCACATCAGATGTCAGTCCACTTGATTTTAACGTAGACATTGTTCAAAGGATGTTGAGGTCAAAGCTGTGATGGTTGGGATGAGCCGGGTCCTGAAGCTCCTTGTTTCAGGGACTGCAGGGACCTGGTGAGTCTTTGCAGAGCTGTAGATCTGCAGCAGTTTGAACCCCACTGACACTCAGCCTGTAAGGATGCTCTCTGTTTCTTTTGCAGCAGTCCGGTCTTCATGTCCTGAACCCTGCTGGTCATGTGACCTCCAACCAAGTCCAATGGGTGAGTCATCATCTTTCTGTGTAACAATGATTGGCAGGAAAGTTGTGGCCAAAACTATCTTTAAATGGTTCGATTCTTGTGTGTTTCGTAATTATTTGCTGATTTTAGTGACATCATCATGAAGCGAACGTGCTGATGAGTTTATCAGAAATAAACTGACGCTTTGGTTTATTTTTTATTTTTTTTACCAGGAGTCCCATTGAGCCAATGTTTTATGTAGTTTTTTTTTTCTTGTTGCTGAATGTTAATGTCGCAGCTTCAGAACCCGTTTAAACTGACCCGGTTTGCACCTCCTGTCCACAGAGTTTGATACAAACATTTTCAAACAGGAGATTGTAAAAACTGCTCCTGGTGACTTGGTGTTTATTTATTAATTTATTTATTGTTAACCGATATTTAACTAGACAAATCCCACTGAGATCACCTGATGTCAGCCTTACTGTTTTGGACTGTGGAAGGAAACCGGAGTATCCGGAGAAAACCCATGAGGAGAACATGCCAACTCCACCCAAAAACACCTCAACAAGGCCAACCTGGGGATTGAACCCAGGATCTTCCTGCTGTGAGGCAACAGTGCTAACCACTAAGCCAGCGTTTTGCCATTTTTAGTGTATGTGCTACGGAACAGTTGTAGACAGGAACTTCAGGGTCGTGGCAGCATGTCACACTGGATCGGCATCTGTCTTCATCCTGATCAACTTTAATTATCAGTGAGTGTTTACTGATACAACAGGTTTTAACGTATAAAATCAAAGGAAAAACCTGTTTTGGAAGAAACTTCAGGCTAGAGTGCTTCTACTTTAATCCAAGTTAAACATGGTGTTCCTCTGTATTTTGAAATGTTGGTAATGTTAATGTTCTCGCCACCTCGTGGTGCAGTGTGGCTGTTTCAGCATTTTTGTACAACTAATTTGGAAAGAGACTATAAAAAAAAAATCTAATTGTAAAAACCATATCTGGATAAAACGTTAGTGATGTTGCCTTCTCCATAACAGGCAGCGGGCGGCGATATTGCCACCTACATTGACGTGACGAAAACAATTAAAATAACAAATCCTTGTTTTGCCATCGCTGAATGTCATACACCTCATTTCATCGTCACACATGTCAAGTCTTACAGAGTTTTCTAGAACCCTGCTTCATATTTATTTTAACGCTAAGGTCGCCCCGTCACCCTGCCCTCACTGCTCTGGTGCACTCGTGAGCCCAAAACAAATACATGCAGTGTAAAAAACATGTAAACACCATGTAAACACCATGTAAACACCATATAACATGTAACAATTTGTAAACAACATGCAAACACCATGTAAACACCATATAACATGTACCAATCTGTAAACAACATGTAAACATAATGTAAACACCATATAACATGTAACAATCTGTAAACAATCTGTAAACATAATGTAAACACCATATAACATGTAACCGTCATGTTAACAATCTGTAAACAACATGTAAACAACCAGAATAAAATAAACTTTATTATCATTGCACCAAGATACAACGAGAACATGTACGTACAGTTGTCAGAAAGATGGGCGGAGTGTACGAAGCTGCAACTAAAGAAAGCGCGGCCCTCTTATTCTTTTTCAGAATAATATTTTGCTTAGATAAGAAAAGGGAAGAAAACATGAGGAGAGACGGTACAAAAAAAGATCTCTCACTCTGTGTCCTAGATAGGGCAAAAAAACTACCACAGCAACGCAACATAAAAAGATGTTCTACATGAACATATAGCCGGTGAAGACATTGAATTTTTAAGGGAAAGTCGTAGCACAGTTTTCGTCTCCACGTAAACAAACAAGATGTTGCTCCCATGAACCTGGTCCTGCTGGGTTCAGGCAGGCCCTTGGTCCATATTTTAAATAGAGGTTCTGAGATGTGCTGTGTCACGGGTTTCTCCAGCAGACACTGAAGAAGTTCCTGGCGTTGGCGCAGCACTTCAAGCTGCCGCTGTTCCTCGCTGACGTCGCAGCACTGACGCTGCTCTCCCATGATGCTGTGCGGCAGCGTGACCGTATGACCCGTGAGCCACACTGCAGTTTCTTCTGCACCGGCCGGCCAATCACATCGTTCGCTCTGCAGGCCAACCTATGGAAGTATGATGTGAGTGATGCCTTCAGGGCCACAGATACAGCAGGACAAACGGGTTCCCAGTTCAACATTTCTGTTGTTTTTGTCCATCAGCCTGCCTTCCTACTGGCCGCCCAGCAGAAAGGGTTTGAGCTGCTGGAGCTGCGAGGAGAGGACCCACGACTCGCCAGTCTGGACACCCTGTCAGGGGAGGAGCTTCCGCTGCACTTCCTGTTTCGTCTCCATAGTTACAGCATCCATGTGTGTGGAGTCTTGAATATCTGGTGAAACCATAGAGACCGCATAGAGACACCCAACACACGTTTAGACTCACTTAGCAACCACGAAGACACCCAAGATACAACTGAGACCCACATGCCTGATGTGCTGCAGTAATACAATCCCAGGCTGTAGTATTACTGTAGTAGTGCTGTAGTAGTATTACTGTAGTAGTAGTATTGTACTATTACTGTAATTGTACTGTTAAAGTACTGTAGTAGAACTGTAGTAGCAGTATTGTTGTAGTACTGTAGTATTGCTGTAGTAGTTGTACTAGTGTAGTAGTACTGTAGTAGTAGTACTGTAGTATGGTTATAGTAGTGTTATGGTAGTAGTAGTATTGTATTATTGTAATAGTACTGTTAAAGTACTGTAGTAGAACTTTAGTAGTAGTATTTTTGTAGTACTGTAGTAGTGCTGTAGTAGTAGTACTGTAGTAGTAGGATTGTAGTATTACTGTAATACTACTGTAGTAGTACTGTAGTAGCGCTGTAGTAGTAGTAGTACTGTAGTATTACTGTAATACTACTGTTGTAGTACTGTAGTAGTATTACTGTAGTAGTTACCTGCACCTTTTTGTCCAGGTGGTGCTCCTGTACGAGCGCAGTGGAAACTATTTATGGCACGGCGCTCTGAGACTCAAAGTCAATGTGGACCGAAGTTTCTCGCCCTTCAGACTTCTGGACTATGGACGCCACGCAGGAGCCTACGACAGGTTGGACCAGCGGGGGGGGGGGTGGAGGTGTGGGGTGGTCACATGATCACAGTTTGTGTAGAGGACCAGAGGAGGCAGCAATGAACTTCCTGTTTGTGTTGGCGTGTCGCCCCCTGCAGGCCAGAGCTGATCCTCACCGTGCTCGACGGCCTCGATGTTCGAGTCCCGCGCAACATTTCAGAGTTTCTGAGGCAGCACAGACACGCTCGCTTCTTGGAGTGTCGTTACCGTGACGCCCGCAGCTTCCTGCAGGTTAGTGTTTGTTGTGGGGTAATGGTTGGAGTCATGAGAGCTCAATTCAATTCAGTCTCTGTCTCTGACTGCAGCTCTACCCTCAAGACTCTTCGGCAGCAGCTGTGGATTTTCGCAGGAAGGCGAAGTCGTTACTTCATTCAGCCGCTCGGACGCTCGCTGCGCTCCGCGTACCGTTCTGGATCAGCAGCGGCACTTGTCTGGGTAACGTGCTAACACGCTAACAGCTGTTTGAAAGGGAGGTTTCTGTAGTTTAGAGCTGACCTCTTCAGAAACTGCTCACATGTTTGAAACATGAACGTCTCAAACTGTCCTTCATGTTTCTGTCCCTCACCTCCCACAGGATGGTTCCGGCAGTGCAGCATCATCTCGTACAGTCGGGACGTTGACATCGGGATTTTCATCACGGACTTCAGGCCCGACATTGTCACAGCGTTCAGAGACGCCGGCTTTTCTCTCAAACACAAGTTTGGAAAGGTCAGACTTCGTTTACCTCGTTTTTGAGTTTCATGTAAAAACGTGAATTCTCTGCTGGATTTACATCCAATCAGACGTTCATGGCTGTCCTTTTTTATAAACTGATGTTTTATTCTGAAATTGGTGCTTCTGTCATTCTAAACGTATTTTATTTTGAAGTGCAGGTGGAGGACAGTCTGGAGCTGTCCTTTGTGGACGATGATGTCAAACTGGACATTTTCTTCTTCTACAAAGACGGCGGTGTGGTGTGGAATGGAGGGACGCAGGCGAAGAGCGGCAGGAAGTTCAAGTACAAAAGTCTTCTTCCTGTTGAACTTTGTTCAGAAGCTTTGTTGTTAATAAAGTTTTGTTTTCCAGGTACATCTTCCCGCACTTCTCGCTGTGCTGGGCGGAGCTTCTGGAGGTCAAAGTTCGTGTTCCATGTGAGACGCTGGACTACGTGACAGCTAACTACGGCGCTACGTGGAGTGTCCCAGTGAAGAGCTGGGACTGGAAGACGTCACCCAGCAACGTGCTGGAAAATGGGGTGTGGCCTGTTGCTGAGTGGGCGGAGCTTATTCAAGTGCACTAACGTTGTGAAGTGAGGCAGGAACGTGAAAATGTTTTTTCCTTTTTGTTTTCTTTCCCTGTAAAACACCTGTGCTACAAATAAAGTTAGAACAAGATTGTTTATGGACGGTAACGTCCTTCAGATGGACGGAGGAATGTCATTTTTCTGTTTTTATAATAAAAAAAGTTTTTTATATTTTTATGGTGAAAATGTCGGTTCTCCTCACTGGAACCAGTTCAAAGTTCTGGTTCAACAGGACCCGGTCCAGATAGCCGTCTTCTTAAGTGTGTATATTATCATTGATGTCACTGCTCCACATGGCAGGCTGTTGTGTCATATAATTTATTACACATACATACTTCCATTAAGTAAAGTTTTTAAACAGCAACGTAAATTTTCATTATTCTGCTGATGATACTCAGTTGTAGTTGTCCATGAAACCCGATGAATCCAATCAATTAAGTCTCTCTTGTAAGTCACCGAGGCGCAATGGGACTAGCCTGTGTATAAATAAAGGTTGAATTAACGAAAAAGTTACAAGCATGTCTTAAAGACATAAAAACCAGGAAAACCCTTAATTTTCTCCTGTTGAACACAGACAAGACTGAGGTTTTGGTTTTTGGACCTGAGCACCTTAGGAATTAATTTTTCAGTCTTTCTCCCTCCTTAGATGGCATTAATCTGTCCTCCAGCTCTAATGTTAAAAATCTTGGTGTTATTTTTGATCAGGACATGTCTTTTATCCCCCACATTAAAAACGTTACTAGAACTGCCTTCTTCCACCTGCGTAATATCACTAAAATTAAAAACATCTAAAAATGATGCAGAAAAACTGGTCCATGCATTTGTCACATCTAGACTGGTCTATTGCAATGGTTTATTATCTGGATGTCCAAATACGTCTTTAAAACGTCTTCAGTTGATCCAAAATGCTGCTGCCAGAGTCTTAACTTTTAAAAGGGAGTTTTTTCTTTCCACGGTCTCCTTTCTGCTTGCTCAGGATGTGAGACTGTGAAGTGAAGGTTTAACACAATCTGCTGCTTCCTTAGATAAATAACTTTACTAACTGGCGTTTATAATATATGACTGTTTCTGTGCAGTGCCCTGAGATGACTTTTTGTTGTGACTTGGAAGTACAAAAATTAATGTGTCTAAAATGAGTCTAGATTATAACCGAGGACGCTGCCCTGCTGCGTTTGTCCCCGTCAGGCATTGTATGTTTGTTGTCATGGTTTTTTTTTTCTGTGCTGTGAAACAAAGATGTCATGAGGTTTTTTACCATGTGAGGATCAGTGAGGATCTATGAATGATCGAATGTTGTCCCAAATGACTGATGATGATAAATAGAATCCACCTGTGTGTAATCAAGTCTCTGTATAAATGCACCTGCTCTGTGATAGTCTCAGGGTTCTGTTCAAAGAGCAGAGAGCATCATGAAGACCAAGGAACACACCAGGCAGGTCCAAGATACTGTTGTTGAGAAGTTTAAAGCCGGATTTCGATACAAAAAAAATTCCCAAGCTTTAAACATCCCAAGGAGCACTGTGCAAGCAATCATATTGAAATGGAAGGAGTATCAGACCACTGCAGATCTACCAAGACCCGGCCGTCCCTCTAAACTTTCATCTGGAACAAGGAGAAGACTGATCAGAGATGCAGCCAAGAGGCCCATGATCACTCTGGATGAACTGCAGAGATCTACAGCTGAGGTGGGAAAGTCTGTCCATAGGACAACAATCAGTCGTACACTGCACAAATCTGGACTTTATGGAAGAGTGGCAAGAAGAAAGCCATTTCTCAAAGATATCCATAAAAAGTGTTTAAAGTTTGCCACAAGCACCTGGGAGACACCAAACATGTGGAAGAAGGTGCTCTGGTCACATGAAACCAAAATCGAACTGTTTGGCCACAATGCAAAACGATATGTTTGGCGTAAAAGCAACACAGCTCATCACCCTGAACACACCATCCCCACTGTCAAACATGGTGGTGGCAGCATCATGGTTTGGGCCTGCTTTTCGTCAGCAGGGACAGGGAGGATGGTCAGAATTGATGGGAAGATGGATGGGGCCAAATACAGGACCATTCTGGAAGAAAACCTGTTTGAGTCTGCAAGAGACCTGAGACTGGGACGGAGATTTGTCTTCCAACAAGACAATGATCCAAAACATAAAGACAAATCTACAATGGAATGGTTCACAAATAAACGTATCCAGGTGTTGGAATGACCAAGTCAAAGTCCAGACCTGAATCCAATCGAGAATCTGTGGAAAGAGCTGAAGACTGCTGTTCACAAACGCTCTCCATCCAACCTCACTGAGCTCGAGCTGTTTTGCAAAGAAGAATGGGCAGAACTTCAGTGTCTCCATGTTCAAAACTGATAGAGACAAACCCCAAGAGACTTGCAGCTGGAACTGCAGCAAAAGGCGGCGCTACAAAGTATTAACGCAAGGGGGCCCAATAATATTGCACGCCCCACTTTTCAGTTTATTTGTTAAAAAAGTTTGACACATCCAATAAATTTCATTCCACTTCACGATTGTGTCCCACTTGTTGTTGATTCTTTACAAAAATAAACATTTTATATCTTTGAAGCCAGAAATGTGGCAAAAGGTTGAAAAGTTTAAGGGGGCCGAATACTTTCACAAGGCACTGTACATTTGTCAATTTAGGATTTTAAAAGAGCTTAATTTTAATGAATATAATGATGATGATGCTTAATGAATTTTACTTAGGCTGAACAGCTTCTTATTTCTGACACCAGTAAAGAAATGAGCAGCTTGCCTACTGATGTGGAGTTCAAGTTCAACTGCCCTAGAGTTAGGTTACCAGGAGGAGCCTCACTTTGAGATGATTTGAGTGTCGAAGGTGGGATTCCCTGGTCCCTGGACATCAGTTGAAGTCTGGAGTCGATGGGTAACTGGCTCCCGATGGGTCCGTTGCTGTGTCCTTCGGAGGGCTGTGTTTTCTCCTTCTGGTGACAAAGAACCTTCTGGTGGTTTCCTTGAAGCTGGAGATGAGTCTCTGGAACAACCTGTCTCACTTTTTACTGCGTGGAACTTCTTATCTTCTGGAAAATTTGTAGATTGCTCGGATCTTTCTTCTTCAAAAGCTACTCCCAAGACTGACTAAAACTAAACGTCAGAATAACTTTCTCAGACTTAGAGGGTCAACAAAAAGATGGTTCAGACAATCGGAACAGAAAGAGTGGAGCTTTGTTTCAGGTTACTGCTCCCTGTGGACTTTACCAACAAAGTAAGACAAAAATAGCTAGTTTACTCTGCTTTGGTAAATATTCAGTATCACAGCAGAACATTTAAGGCTTCTTCTCAGTTTGACTCATCAAGAAACATTTTCGTTATCACTTGTGAAAGCAACAGTTGAAACGTTCTGGTTACCAGGTCTTTTACTCTTCTACTTTCTCTTATGCATGATTAAACTGAGTACTAAGCTGAGAAAGAAGAAAACAAGCTATTTCATAGTAACTTTACAGAAAAACATTCAAGCTGTGAAGGAGAACTAAAGAAATGAATTGTTTATAATAAAATTCTACCGTGTGATGGCGATGTCGTACTATTATAGATTTACCGTATTTCCCGAAGTATAAGTCGCATCAGTCAAAAAAAGCATCATGAAGAGGAAAAAAACATATAAGTCGCTTTGGCGAATAAGTCTCATTTATTATGCGTCACCGCAGATGTGTCGTGTTTATTAAATGGTCTAGGCAGCTTCATTTCGCCTGGGTGGCACAGCGTCATCCATGCATCCATGCCGTTCTTTGAAATTTAAAGTTTAACACTTCAAAACAATTATTTTGTCTCAACATTATAGCAATGTTGTGTCTCAGTTTCCTTAATAAATGCTTTAATGGTCAAAACAGCTTCATTTCGCCTGGGCGGCGCGGCAAAATGAAGCTGTTTTGACCTTGAGCAAAGAGACGTTTGCTCCAGGTGTTCCTCCCCGCTCCGCCACCAGAGCGGGGACAAAGGTGGCTCGCGGTTCTGCAGTGTCCTTGCTGCCCGCACCTCGCTGCTTCCCAGGGCCACGGATCACGCACTGCGCAACACCCTTCCTTCCTGCTTCAGCAGCAGAGGAATGCTGTAGAGCTCGCAGCCGGAGCCGCGATGAATGGGTGGATGGATGGGTGGCACACCGCCGCGGAGTCTTCTCGCACCTCTAGTGGCTGCAAATGGCAATGTTTACTCTGGTTCATGTCAGAATGAATGAACATTTCAAGCGTCAGTCAAAAATTGCGTTGAGTATGGGAAAAAAAAACATTTAAGCCACAGGACCTGCAAATTTATGCAACAAAATGTGACTTATACGCCAGAAAATATGGTAATAAAGTCCTCGAGGAACAATGGGGTCGTTCTTTCACACTCTTGAGTCTGTGAGAAGAATCCTATCTTTAGAGAGGAGATATGCCTAATGCTCAGATGTTACACTGCCAAACGTAAGGTGGACCTTCTCATAGGAAAAGCCTTTCAGGCCTGGTGAGGTCATAAAAACAGGTGTACAATAAATTACAATAACATGTTTTTTAATTATTTTTTTTGTAACATGGTTTCTTCCTGTTCAGCTTTGTGAACGAGAGTCAGTCTTACTTCAAAGTATCAAAATAATAAAAGTTTGACGTAGAAAGATCTTGATGTGTCCCTACAAATCTTTTATGAAAATATGTGAAAGCTTGTTAGAAAGAGAAAGTGAAAAGATTTCTCTTAAATGTATTTACTGAGAACAAAACATTGTAGATATGAATATATTAATATGGAAAATTTGTAAAAATATTGAGTAAATATATATGTTAAAAGCTACCCAAACAGAAAACCTTGGCTGAATGCAGAGGTGCACACCCTGCTGGAAGCCAGGAACAATGCCTTCAGGTCTGGAAACTCACAGGAGCTGAGCAGGACAAGAAAAGAGCTTGTTGCTGGTATTAAAAGAGTCAAGGGCACATATGCAGAGGATCCAGGGTTAATTCATCTCACAAGAACCTCGAAGCATGTGGAGGGGCATTAAGTGCATAACAGATTATAAAGGAAGGAGCGAACAATGCTCCAAAGACCCATCTCTGCCTGATGCCCTCAACAAGTTCTATGCACGCTTTGAAGACCCAAACAGACCACCCAGCACCAGACTCACCTCAC